TCAGAGGTGGCTGTGGCTGAGCTGGAGGCATGGCCCAGGCTGGGAGCTGGAGCTGGGGAAGCTGCAGACTGGCAAGCTGAGCTGTTGGGGCTGGGGATGGCAGCAGGCCGGAGGTGGACATGGATTCATGCCTGTGCCTTGACTGCCAGCGTGTTGGTGGCCCAGTGACCAGCAGCTGCCATGCTGGGGACCTCCTCCAGCCCTCACCAGGCTGCTGCCCTTCTCCATAGCTCTGCTTTTGCACCAGGGCAGCTCCTGCCCCTGCCAAGGCTGGGGCTGGGCCTGGGGCAGGCATGGGGAGGCAGTGGGAAGCACACACATGGGCTCCCTGCTCTGTTCAGAGAGTGCTGAACTCACTCCGTCTTGCTGAGCCAAGCTAAGGAAAGGCCTTTTTTCCATTTGCCTGCTCCCAGAGCAGCCTCCTCCCCTTCCTTGGCTATTTTTACCCTGCTGGAGAAGGCAGTGCTGTTTGAAGCAGCATGGTCCCCTCCAGAGGCTGAGCTGGGCACGCTGCTCTTGGCTGGGATGTTCCTTTCTGGCTGTCCAGCCCTTCCCCGTTCGTTCATCTTCAGGGAAGTGACGAGCGGAAAAATCTGCTCAGACCAACGGCCCTGGAGCACGGGGTTCACACCACACACAGGGCACTGAGCTCCCAGGGCTTCCCTCTCAGCAGCCCAGGCCTGCAGGCTGAGCACACATTCCTAACTGGACCCCAAAGGTTTTGCCTTGTTTCACCTCAATGCCCACTGACGGTGGATCTGTCCCCTCCATGTACCCAAAAGCACACCCTGAGCACCTCTGCCTCTGCTTGCCCTCCTGGAGGGCCATGCTTCTTGTGCCCAGGCCTGGCTGCCTTCTCCCCAAACCACAGCACCCTTTTCAGGCTGTTAGCACCTCTTCCTCCTGCCCTGCCTCTCCCACCAGGTTCCTGTCATCTGGGACCATATCCTCAAGAAAAACTCAGGGAAGTGGGAGGCCATTGCCAAGCACCAGGTGAAGAATGCCTTCAGCCCCACTGATGAGGAGCTGAAGCTGCAGGCACGCAGGTGAGGCTGGGGCAGGTGTGCAGAGTGCCCAGCGGGGCCTGAGCAGGGCTGGAGCTCAGCACTGGGAGCACAGAGGGGTCTGTGGCACTGGCTGGACGTGTCCCCTCAGTGGCAGAATGCAACAGGGACAGCTCACTGCTGGTCAGCCATTCCCTGTAAGCAGCCTCGCCCCTCTCTGCCTGCACAGGTGGGCACAGACCTACAGCCTGGACATGATGGAGGCTCTGGCCCCTGACAAGCCCCGCTGCAGGGTGTGTGGTGCAGAAGCAGCCAAGCGCTGCTCTCGCTGCCGGAACGAGTGGTACTGCTCACGGTAAGGGAGCCCTGCCACCCCCTTGGGGTCCCTGCAGCCCCCCTGGGCCCCCTGCAGCCCCTCAGTGCTCCCCAGAGCACCACAGGTCTCACTTGATAATGCTGTGGGAGGGCCAAGGAAAGCCAGGGGTCCCAGCACTGCTCAGCACCGCTAGCTCTCTGCTGGCCATGTACCTCTCCAAACCTTGTGGGAGGCTGATGTGCTGGGCTGCTGGGGGAGGAGGTGCTGGTGAGGGTTGTGTTGCAGCTGCGAGGTGCTGAGCTGCCTCTGCCCACAGTGGCAGCAGTGACAGGCTGGGTTTTCCGTGGTGACACTGCCTCCCTCCTCCCCACCTTGGTAGGAAAGCACCCACGACCCTGTGGGTGCAGGTGACAGGCTGGGATGTGGCAGCTGGGACGGTGGCACTAAATTAAATCTCTGGTCCTGAACCATCTGGCAAGGTCTGGCGTTAAACCTTCTTAACCCCCAGGACTGGGGCCACATCCACCCCCCTCTTGGTCTAATGCTGGGCTGTATCAGCTCTCCCCCAGCTCCCAGAGGGGTGTGTGCTGGGCTGCTTTGCCCCCAGGGATGGATGTGACTCCAGTGCCCTGAGAGCAGCTTCCCCCTCTGCAGGGCATGCCAGGTGCAGCACTGGCAGAAGCACAAGCCTGCCTGCGACCTGATGGCCAAGGTGCCCAGTGTGGATGACCTGTAAGAAAAGGTGTCTGGCATTTGGCCCATGGCTCAGAGAGGCAGAGATTCCCCCGGTGTGCAGCCCAGAGCTGGAAAGAAGCTGGCAAAGGCCCCTTCTGCCTGCTCCCAGCCCCAGGCAGGGTCAGCCTCTCCTCTCCCACCACCCCACCATGCTGCCTTTTCCAGTAAAACTTGTGCATCCCACAGGTGCTTGGCTTTTGCTTTTTCTCTCCTAGCTGAAGGTAACAAACTGCTTCCTCCCCTCCCTTCCACACAGTGAGAGGTGTGTGTCCATTTTCCTCTCTGGAACAACAGAAATCCCAGAGAACCCGAAAAAGCCTATAAGGTTGTGGTTACCTTACTGCTGCTGGGGCGGGAAGGGAGTGAGAAGGCCCCTATGCTGCCTTTTACCATTGTTAGAGCAGCGTGGGGAGCAGAGGATGTGGTTTGCATGAGCCTCTTGCTGTGAGAAAGAGTTTCTTGGGTATTTGTCATCTCCCACCTTGCAGGGACCATTCACCCCATTTCCTCTCCCTTGCTGTGATGTTAGCACCGAGGGCTTGGCCCCCTGCCCACCAGCATTACCAGTAAACAGGGTTTACTGGTGGGGATGTCTTGGGGTGCATCCCCAGCTCTCACTGGTCAGCAGCTGCTGCCAAAGGGCTGCAGCCTTGGTCTGAGCACAGCTGGGAAAGGTTGGCCATGTCCTTTGTCTGATGGGGTGCTGGAGAATCCCTGACACATAAAACTAGGCTTTGCACCAGGGCTGCTGCTGCAGGAGCCAGGAGCAGGCAGGAAACCATCTCGGTCCAGCTGCAGCCCCGGCGGAGCAGCCCCCGCTCGGAGCTCAATGAACTCCTCACCCCAGCCCCGGCTGCACGTCCCGGGCTGCAGCCAGCGGGAGCAGAGCGCTCCCCGCAGCTCTCCGTCTGCTTCTCACCCGCCGCCAGGGCTGCCTCCAGCCCCTTCCCCGCTGGGAAACTGAGGCAGGGAGCGCAGTTTCTCCTTGTCCTGCGAGAAGAGGCAGAGAGAGGGGAGCGGCTGCAGCGGGCCCCCCTTCCTCCGCGGCGGCTCCGGGAGCCTCATCCCCGCCTCCAGCCCGCCCCGCCGGGCTCGCCGGGGCTGGAGTTGGCGATCGGGAGCCCGGGGCACTGCGCCGATCCCCCCACCTCTCCTGCCTCAGTTTCCCCGCGGTGCCCGATCGGGGCGGCCCCTCCCGATCCCCGCCCCGGCCCCGGCCCGGTGCCGGCCCCCGCCCCGCCGCCGAGCAGCGCCCGCGGCCGCCGGGCCATGGAGCTCATCGAGCTGCGGGAGCTGCAGCCGGAGCCGCGGCCGGGCCGGGGCCGCCTGGAACGAGCCAACGCGCTGCGCATCAGCCCGGCCCGCCGGCCCGGCCCCGGGGCGCATCCCGACCCGCGGCTGACGGCGGCACCGGGCGCCGGGCACCGCTTCGAGCCGCGGCGCCGCGGGCTGCACACCTGGTGCGATCTCTGCGGGGACTTCGTCTGGGGCGGCGGCAGGAAGAGCCTCCAGTGCCGCCGTGAGTACCGCGCCGCGCCCCGGGCCCCCGCACCCCCGCCGCCGGGCACCCCGCACCCTGCCAGGCACCGGGCGGGCCGCCACCCGGCTTCCTCTGCACCGGGCACCCCCAGCGAGCACCGGATACCCCGCCACCGGGCATCCCCACCGCCGGGCATCCCCACCGGGCATCCCACCAACCGGGCACCCCTGCAGGACACCGAACATCCTGGTGGCAGGCAGCCCCGCTGAGCACCGGGTGTCCCAGCAGCGGGCATGAGTTTCCCAGCACCGGGCAGGCTGCCACTGGACACCCCCACCACCAGCGGGTACAGAGCATCCTGCAGCATCCTGCACCCCCACGGGCCCCCCACCCCTGGTGGTGGGCCCCTCACCGAGCACCAGCTGTCCTACAACTGGGCACAGGCATCCCAGCACCAGGCTGGGTACAGGCATCTCAATACCAACCAGCCCCACCAGGCATCCTGGTGCCAGGCACTTCCATTAAGTTGGGCATCACCATTCAGGGCAGCTGCACCATTCCTGGGCCTCTGGGCACCAGGAGCTGCCACCAAACAGTGGACATGCCTGGATCAGGCACCCACATCAGGCACTGGCAGTCCCATACAGAATATCCTCACCTGGTACCATGCATCCCTGTATTGGGTACCTGTACCAGGTATTCTGGTACTGGATACCCACACTGGCCACTGGGCATCCCAGTACTGGACACCCACTCTGGTGCCCATACTGGGCATCCCTGTGCTGAGCATCCCAGTACCAGGCACTGAGCACACTGTACTGGCCAGCCCACAGGGAGCACAGGCAAAGTGGCACCAGCCAGGATGTGGCACAGTGCTGTGTTCCATGTTGATGCTACCCCTGAAGCCCTGGGCACAGCGTGAGCAGACAGCTGACACTGTCACCATGTGCCAGCCCTTGTCCCATCAGGGCCCTGACCCTGGCAGCCAGGCTGTGCACAGCGGTGACCCTGCTCCTGTCTCTGTCCCCAGACTGCAGCTTCACCTGCCACTACCGCTGCCGGGCCCTGGTGCAGCTGGACTGCGGAGGCCCCCCAGGCGCTGGTGACGAGGACGATGGCAATGAGCAGGTGTTGGAGAAGGACACCAACGTGGTACGGCCTGGGGCTGTCTGTGAGGGAGGGCTTGGGTGGGGGGTGGCAAACCTGGGGGCTGTGCTGGGCTGGGGAGGGCTAAGCTGGGCTGTGCCATGTGAGGCCACGTCATGGCATGCCAGGCTGTGCCAAGCCAGGCTGTGTCAAGCCTTGCTGGGCTGGGCTTAGCTGAGCTGAGCTGAGCTGTGTGAAGCTGACATGCCGGGCTGTGCTATGCCATGCCAGGCTGCACTATGCCAGGCTATTTTGTGCCATGCTGGGCTGTGCCAAGCCTTGATGGACTGCGCTGGGCTGAGCTGAGTGAGGTCGTGCCATGCCGTACTGTGCCATGTCGGGCTGTGCTGTGCCAAGCCGGGCTGTGCTGTGTCGCGCCCGTGCCACGCTGCCCGCACCGCACCGTGCCCGAGCCGAGCCGAGCTCAGCCGGGGCAAAGCCATGTCCGGGCGGGCGCGGGTGAAGTCACCGCCGGAAGCGGGGCCGCCGCGCCGCCCCCGGCCCGCGTCACCCCACGGCCGGGGCGGGGCAGCGGCGGGACCGCGCTGAGCCTGGAGCGGGGCAGGGCGCGGTAGACGCCGCGCCGAACCGAGCCGGGACGGGAGCGCGATAGGGACCGGGCTGAGCCGAGCCGGGAGCGGGACCGCGATAGACACCGGGCTGAGCCGAGCGGGACGGCGATAGGGATCGGGCGAAGCTGAGCCGGGACTGAGAGTGGGACTGGGCGGAGCTGAGTCGGGATTGAGACCGGGACCGGGCAGAGCCAAGTCGGGACTGAGACCGGGACCGGGCAGAACCGAGCCGCGATAGGGACCGAGCGGAGCCGAGCCGGGCCAAGGGCCGGGCTGAGCGGAGCCGGGCCAAGGACCGGGAGCGGGCTGAGCCGAGCCGGGAGCGGACCGAGCCGGGCCCCGGCCCGGGGGCCGGTCGGGCTGGCGCGGGGCCGGGTGTGCCCGTGTGCTCGCCGCCCCGGCGGGGCTGCGGGGCGGCCGGGCCGGGCCGTGCCCTCCGCCACCGCCGCCGTGCCCGTGGCCGGGCCGGGGGCCGGCGGGCCCGGGGGCTGCGGGGCGGCGGCGCTGGCGCTGCGGCGGGGCGGCGCGGGGGGCACGGGGGGCAGCACGGCCAGCAGCGGCTACTGCAGCCAGGAGGACTCCGACTCCGAGCCCGAGCTCTTCTACACCGCCCGCACCTCCCTCGGCCGCCGCCCGCGCCGCCGCCAGGTCGGTCCCGGGCCATGACGTAATGGGGTACACGGGTGACGTCATCGGGGCACATTCCCCCGGCTGGGTGCTGGGGAGCAGGCGAGGGTGGGCTGGGTGCGTGGGGAGAACCAGAGGTGCTGGTGGTCTTTTTTTAGAGGTGAGCTTGGCCCTGCTGTGGGGCAAGAGCGGGGTGAAGCATGGCCGTGCCGTGGGCCGCCGTTGCCCTGTCCGGTTGGATGTGGGGCGAGCGAGGCACCGTGGGGCGAGTGGAGTTTCGCCGCCTGGCACGGACACCCCAAGGTGTCTCAAGGCTGGAGCTGCTCTTGGCTTTGGGGGTCTCGGGACAAGCTCCCCGGGCAGCTTCACAGCTGTCCCCATCCTGCAGGGACCCCGCGGGGTCCGGCAGTGCCCGCATGCTCTGGGGTGGCTGTCGGGGCTGGGAACACCCCCTCAGTGCCGCGGGGACACGTGCAGCACTGTGTGGCAGCTCCGCGGCCCCGCGTAAATAAACACTCATTAGTGGGTGCCGGTGGCGGGGACGCCGAGCCGGGGCGCTCTGTGCCCCGTGTGTGGGGCCAGCACTTTGAAGTGGGGTGCCGGCGGCAAGGGCGGGCTGCACCCCCAGCCCGGCCCTCCTGCCTCAGATCTCAGGGCGTCCCCGCGGGCGCGGAGCCTGCCCAGACGCCCTGGTGCCGGACTGGCGGCTGCCGGCGCTCTGCCTTGGGGACGCCTCTCTGATCTGGGCTGCCGGGAGCGGACTCTCGGCTCCGGGTGCCCTCGCAGGGCGTTCTCACAGCCCTGCAGCCCCAGGGACGGGCGCTTGCGGGGCGGCCGGTGCCGGTGTCCCCGGAGCAGAGCTGGGGTGAGCTCAGCTGAGCGTCCTCGGCACAGCCCAGCTCCGCCAGCCGGGCTGATGCAACCCCGTGCAACCCGCCCGCGCATCTCCCGGTGCTTCGGGGCGGGCTGGGGGCCGGCGCGACACCGAGGCAGGCGGGACGGTCCCTCCCGGACTCTGTGCCGCTCAGCCCGGCTGTTGTCACGCAGGATGAGCCCAGCGAGTGGGAGAAGACAGAGCTGGACCAGGCGCAGGTGGAGCAGCGGATCAAGGAGTACAACAGCCAAATCAACAGCAACCTCTTCATGAGCCTGGTACGGGGTCGGCACAGGGCTGAGGGTGTGACGATGGCCTGCCCTGACCCCACTCACCCCCCACCGGTGTCTCGTAGAACAAGGACGGCTCCTACACCGGCTTCATCAAGGTGCAGCTGAAGCTGGTTCGCCCTGTCTCGGTGCCGGCCACCAAGCGGGTCCCCTCCCTGCAGGCGGGGCGGCCACACCCCCAGGGGGTGAAGCGCCGCACGTCCTTCTACCTGCCCAAGGGGACCGTCAAGCACCTGCACATCCTGTCGCACACCCGTGCCAGCGAGGTCATCGACGCGCTCCTCCGCAAGTTCACCGTCATCGACAACCCCCGCAAGTTCGCCCTCTTCGAGCGGTCTGAGAAGGATGAGCAAGGTAGTGCCCAGGGTCACCCTGTCCTCACAGTGGTGGCCGTGTGCCCATATTGTCAGTTTCCCCTGGGTGGTGGCAGTTCCGTGGTGGTGATGTCCCCAGGGTCCCTCATGGTGCTGCAGCGTGCCCATGGCAGTGGTGTCCCCATGGTGCTGGTGTCCCCCAAGGTGGCAATATCATGGCAGTGGTGCCCCGATAGTGACAGCTTCCCTTAGGCAGCAGCGTTCCCTTGGTGGCAGCATCCCCGTAGCAGTGGTATCCCCCTTTGGTGACAGTGTCCCCTGTCACCATGGATGTGTCCCCATTGCAGCAGTGGTGTCCCCTGTGGTGGCGTTGTCCCCATAGCAGCAGCATCCCCGTAGCAGCAGTGATGTCCCCGTAGCGGTCGTGTCCCCGCGGTGACTCGTGGCCCCGTTGCAGTGTACCTGCGGAAGCTGGGTGACGACGAGCAGCCCCTGCGGCTGCGGCTGCTGGCCGGCCCCAGCGAGAAGGTGCTGAGCTTCATCCTGAAGGAGAACGAGACGGGCGAGGTGAACGTGAGTGCGGGGACGGGGAGGGGGCTGGCCCCGCATTGCCTGGGGCGGTGGCCGTGGCGGGACGCTGCGGGTGCCCGTGGTCATGGCAGCCCTTGTGCCTGCAGTGGGACGCCTTCTCGCTGCCGGAGCTGCACAACTTCCTGCTGATCCTGCAGCGGGAGGAGGAGGAGCACGTGCGGCGGCTGCGGCACCGCTACGCGCGCTGCCGCCAGAAGATGCAGGAGGCGCTGGCCGCGCTGACGCCGGGGTGACCGCGGGGCGCGCAGCCGAGGCCAGCCAGAGCACCGGAACCCTCGCCCGCCGGCCGTGGGGGCAGCAGGGAGGGGGGTGGAACGGGGCACCACCGACCCACCGCGCTGTCACAGCCCCCACGGGGCTGGCCCAGAGAGTGAGGGTTCCTGGTGGGAGCGAGAGCGAGTGTCACCCGGGAGCGTGTGTCCTGGGGGGAACGAGTGTACCCTGGGGGATTGGGTGTCCCCAGGGGAATGGGTGTCCCTAAGAGAGCGTGTGGCACCTGGGGGATTGCGTGTCCCCAGGGGAGTGGGTGTCCCGAAGGGAGCGTGTGTCTTGCGGGAAGCAAGTGTCACCTGGGGGATTAGGTGTCCCCAGGGGAGTGGGTGATATGGGGGGAGCGAGTGTCCCCGGAGAAGTGAGTGTCCCTGGGAAGAAGCAGGGCGTCGAGCACCAATAAAGGCATCTTGGTGACGAGGTCTGGCCTGCGGTGTTGTCCTTGGCGGGGCGGGCTGGGTGGGAAGGGACGGGACGGGACGGGACGCGCAGTCCCAGCGGCGTCGGCGGGCCGTGGGTGCCCACACGTGGTGCGGGTGGTGGCGGCGGGACTCGAACCCGCGGTTCCCGCGCTGCCGGCGCTGGGCGGGGAGGCGGGCGCGCCCCGCGCCGGTGTCACGTGGCGCGGGCGCCGGAAGTGGCGCGGGCGGCGGCGCAGGCGGCGCTCGGTCGGTGTCGCCGGGCGGCTCCGGGCCGCCCCCGTCCCTCCCCCCCCGGCGCCGCTCCTGCCGCCGCCGCCCCCGCCATGGGCGCCAGCGGCTCCAAGTCGCGGGGGCTGTGGCCCTTCGCCACCCCGGCGGCGGGCGGCGGCGGCCCCGACGGCCCCGGCGGGCAGCAGGCCCTGGCCCGGGCGCGGGCCGCGCGCGCCGCCACCCCCTTCGTGTTCACACGGCGCGGGTGAGAGGCGGGCGGGGGCTCTGCCTTGGGGCGGGGGAACTCTGCCGTGGGGCCGGGGCTCTGCCGTGGGGCAGGGGAACTCTGCCGTGGGGCCGGGGCGCTGCCGTGGGGCGGCCCCAGCACAGGCACGGCACGGGGGTCGGGGGGCTCCAGAGTTGCGGGACCGGCTGTCCCAGCGCCCGGCCCAGCTCGGGGCGCAGGGAGCCGGCAGCGCCCGCAGGCTCTCACCCCACGCCTCCCCTCTCCTTTTGGCAGCTCCATGTATTACGATGAGGACGGGGACCTTGCCCACGAGTTCTATGAGGAGACAATCGTCACCAAGAACGGGAGGAAGCGCGCCAAGCTGAAGAGGATCCACAAGAACCTGATACCTCAGGTAAGGTGCGGAGAAGGATGGGGGAAAGGATGGGGCAAAGCGCCACGGTGACGCTTGAAGTCCAGCCTTTACAAGAATCATCTCCCTCGGGGCATCTTCTTACTGGAAAGGTGGAGGCTCTCTCCTCCCCAGTTTCTGCCTGAGAGCCATGATTCCTGTGTGTCCTGGCTCACATCCGTGTCACCTGAGGCTGTGACAGGGAAGGGAGAGCTGGTGGCACCCTCCAGCTGCCTTTTTTTGAGAGAAGCAGTGCCTGAGCCTTTCAGAACTGCCTGGCAGGGGAAGATAGCTCAGCCAGGTGTATGTTGTGGGGCACAGAGTGCCAGGCAGCCCTGCATGGCCACGGCGTCTCCTTACCAAGCACCTTCCACGAGCTGTAGGGTGCTGTGCTGCCTCAGCCAGTGTTATGTCACTGTGGAAGGCCAGGCTTGTGTTGGGGAGCAGCAGCCAGGGCCCATCAGCTGCTGACATGAGTTTGCACATCCCCTCCAGCTGCTCAGCAGTGTTGACAGCTCTCTGCTTTGCCCTTCAGTGGAAGAGTCTCCTCTCTAAATAACCAAGTGGTGTGAAGCTGGGCAGGGGCTGGGATGTCAAGTGAGGATCATGGTGCAGGGGCAGGAGAGCCTGCATGTAGGGAATCTTTTGGGGGCATAAATGGAGGAAAGAGCAGATCAAACCAGGGCTGGAGAGAGCCTCTATAGAAGTCTTCCCTAATTAAGCAGAAAGGCATGGCTGTAATGAGCAGCTGGGGTGAGCTGTGAGGAGTGGGCAGCCTCTCAGCTGGATGGAGCCCCTCTGAGTGCTGAGCAGGCAGTTGCGGATGGAAGGATTTGCTGCTGCTTCCTGGGCTGGCATTCTAGCAGAGGCAGGCTTGGCGTGTGGAACTGAGTCCTTGTTCGTGTGGGTTGAAACTCACCCAGTTGGAAAGCTCAGCTGAGCTGGAGAGAGCAGGTACCAGCACTGAACAGTCCTTTGCTAACACAGCTTTACTCTGGTTCTGCAGGGCCAGGCCCAGCCCTGAGTCCCTGCTCCCCCTCTGCCCCAGCCCCCAGCTGGTGCTGTAACAGGAGAAGGCTGGGATGGGGCATGGGAAGGGTTCCTGTGGCTGCTGTGGAGGGAGTTGCATTCAGCAGCCTCCCCCCTGCACAGAAAGCCGCTTTTCTGTGCGCCAGCTGCCCCGGCTGCATTCCCTCAGAGAGCTCTTTTCATTGCTCTAAATCCCGTGAATGAAAGGTGCCGCATGAAAAGCCCAGACAGCCAAGATCTGCCAGTCACGCAGCAGCTGCTGCACGGGCAGTGCCTGGCAGAGCAGCTCCCTCCTTCCTCGCCCTGCCATGTGTGGCAGCCAGCACTGCTGCCCTCGGCTCTCCAGGGAGCAGAGCGAAGGGCAAAGGGCTGCTGCTCTGTGTGCTGCTGCCCAGGCATACCTGGAGTCATTTATTGAGCCATTTATGGAGCCTGGTCCCTCCAGTTCCTCCAGGGCACAGTGTTCTTTGTCACTGGGCGACTGGCAGGGCTCGGGGATGTTGACTGGCCGTCCCTTCTGCTCACCACTCTGACTCTTCTTTCAGGGCATAGTGAAACTAGAGCATCCCCGCATTCACGTGGATTTCCCAGTGATTATCTGCGAGGTGTGAGTCCCAGACATCACTGCCCGTGGGTGGGAGGCCCTGCCCCACCACCTCCAGCCTCACTGGGCCAGGCTGCATCGTGTTCCCACCGAGGAGGACTCCAGCCGTGTGGCAGGATGGTGGCTCTCCCCTCGCCTGGAGGTGAGGCAGGACGGAGCAGGCCTTCGCAGGAGATGGGTGACTCTGTGCAACGACTGCTTAAAAACATCCTCGCTTGAGTCAGAAGACTAAAATACCTTTTGTAGCCTCTAGCCGACGTTTGATGGGTAACTGGAACTGCAAACAAGCTGCTGTGATTGAGCTGTGAAAGGGAGAGCAAGCCTGCACTTCTCACCAGAGAGAATCCCCTGCTTCTCAGGTATGCGGCCCAGGGAGAGCCAGGGCACAGCACCGCCCTGCCCTGCACCCCGAGGTCCCTGGGGCCCGCAGCTCAGATGGCCAGTGTTGCAGCATGTCCCTTTGACACCGGTGTGATGAGATGCTCCCCCATGTGGGTTTGTTGATGGAGGATAAGCAGAGCAGGCTGAGGGGTCTCAAAGCACATTGGGCTGGCTGCTGCTCTCCTCTCGGGAAGGGGATGGAGATCAGATGCCGCTCTCTTAGACCTTGGTCTCTTCCCCCACTGCATTTCCCCACTTATGCCAGCGCTGGGGAGGTTGGCTTTACTGCTGCCTGCTGGAGATCTCTGCAGTCCCTGGCCCCTGCTGGTGGCAGCAAGGTCCCAGCTCCGCAGCGGACTTGCCTCCCCCCATTGTCACACTGGCTCTGCTGAGCGCCTCCCTCGCCTGCCACGGGGCTGGGCTGCCGGGCAGCTTCCTCACCCCCGCTGCTCTTTGAACATACCTCCCTGTAGGCTGGGCCTCCACTGAGCCAAGCAGGAAAGGAATCCTGTCTTCCTTCCCTGTGCCCCCGAAACAATCAATTGGTGTACCTGCCCCGGCTTGGAAATCTCCCTGGCGATGTGAACTGTGGTTCCTCCCGCATCCCAGCTGGCGGCAGGAGGAGGAATGTGATGCACTTTAAAGGGAGGCTTGCTGCCCCGCCTTGGAGGGTCCTGCTCTTTTCTCCTCTTTCCTCCCACCTAAGAAGGTCGAGGTCTTGGTGGCACCGAAGAACCTCTCACCCCTGTGTGTGTCCAGCTGCTGGGGGAAAGGCCTGACTCCAAATGCCCCTTGGCAGCATGAGGAGCCCCTGCCTCCCTGCTCAGCTGTGCCCAGACTGGGCAGGCAGAGGAGGACCGGCAGCAGGCACAGCTTTAAAGTGGGTCAGAGCCTATTCCCCACAGCAGCCAGCTCGGCTTTCCTCCTCTTTCGTTCCAGAACTTATTTACTTTCTCAGCACTTCAGATGTTTGCTACCTCGATTTTTAATTTAAGCTGCTGGCACTTGGCTGCCAGCCCTGTCGGTGTCTACGTTGGATGTATCCATCCCCGCGTCCGCCCAGAGCCGCCCGGGCGCGGGGCCCCATTCCCAGCTCCGGGGAGATAACAGCGACGTGGCTGTTGCTGTCTTCCTGTCACCACCTCTTCCCTTCACGTCCCTCCACCCGCAGTTCCCATCGACAGGAGCGAGCGCACGGGGTGAAATGGATGTGCTGGCTGCCACCAGGCAGGAAAGTGGAAGGGCAGGGCTCATCTACACTGTGATGCTGGGCACTTCTTTTGACATCTTTTGTTCTGCTTGCTTGAAAGAGTCTTGTCTTAAAACAATCCCTCACTGAAGTGTTTCTTATTTGCACCACCTGCTCTTGAGTTTCTCCCTGGCTGGAGCTCCCTGGGAAGGGCATCCCTTGGGCTCCACAGGAGAGCAGGAGCTGCTGTCCCCAGGAAGAGGAGAGAAAACCGTGGCCACGCTGTCTGTGCTGCCTTGCCCCACTGCTGTGTGAGGGCACGGGAAGCTGCACCGACCCCACCTTGGGCATGGGGAAAGGAGGAGGAGGAGGAGTGGGAAGGGGGTTGGCACTGTTTGCCTGCCCTAGTGGGGAGCCCCTCACCTGGCTACCAGCCAAAAATCTGCTGGCAAGGCATGGCCCTAACCCAGGGGAGGGGGCAGAGACTGTGACCAGCTTAGCAAGGATGCTTTTGTCCTTTCTGACAGGCTGCCCATCCTTCCCCCAGCGTATTAAACATGCTTCCCCAAAACCCATGCCTTCTCCCACTCTTCTACCCCCTCAGTGTCACCAGAGTGGCAGTGAACCTCTGCAGGCTGCCAACAAGCTGCGTCCTGCCCCGCTTCTTCCCAGGCTGGTCCCCACAGCAGCCAGCCCCCAGGACCCAGCAATCCTGCAGCAGCAGGGCCTTGGGAGCACCTGGAGGGATCTTAAAAATGTGAAGGTCACTGTAAATAGTATCTGTGTCCACTGTGGTGTTGGAGCAAGCAAAAAAAAAAAAAAAAAAAACAAACACAAAAAGAAGAAAGTTTTCCTTTTGATTTTTTTTTTTTTTACAATTTCTGTGCAACATTGTGCTTTCCTGTGTGGATGTGTAGCCGAATCGTACTCACCGACACTAGGCTCCTTG